AAAAACAGTTGTGAAACAGTACGTCATTTCTGATCATTTTAGCCTGCCTATCTCACTGTTTTGGTTCGCCTTTTCCATATTGGATCCAACCCAAAAACGAAACGTCCAAACCGCCGATAAAATATCAAAAATATTGAAATTTTAATTAAAACTACAAAGATTTTATAATATTTTCTACCAATATGTCTCACTTTTTAGTATTTTTAATAGCGCATTTTGTCGTTTTTAAATTTCAGAAATCAAAAGTGCATATGAATAAAAATATCGAAATTGAAATGTCTTTCCAAATATGTAGTCTTTTTATTCCTTTCGAGGGATTTTTGTGATGAAGATGGGCTCAGAGGATAAATGTCATGCAGTTTGTCATGTCGTGTGTCACACCGTGTGAATGTTAATATTTTCAGCATGATGTCTGGATTGGCATATTTTTATTCGATGTAACCGAAGGATTTGTATAACGCTTAAGACGGTTGTTGGATGGGCGCACTCTCAATTTGCATGCATAATAGTCTTGTGCGACGAAGCGTGAAGTCCCTTGCATGTTTATTTGCACGTCGAGGATGCAAGCTCAGCCCCGAAAGGAGATTCAACCGCCTTTTCACATCGGCCGTTTTAAGTTTAAAACTCCCTAATCCCTCGGAACGCCACGGGTCGTACGTCATAAGGGCAGATCCGGCTCAAAGGGGGGTTGAATGGAAGGGATAAGGTTCGTAGGTTAAACCTCAGATATTGCCAACCTCAATATCCGACGTGTTTTCAGGAATGGGTATGTACATCTTCCTTCTTCGCCCTCCGCCTTATCCCTTTCCTCCCTCAAACCACCCCTCGGTGAACACACGACCTCCCTCTTTCCGCGACCACACAACCCGTATTATCCCTTCTTTCCTCCATCTTATTCACAAAGCACGTGTCCCTAAATCCGGATTTGGATATTCAGCGAAAAAAGATTTTCCTCTGATTTGGATTACTGCCAAGGCTTCATATATACGAATTATGATTTTTTTTTTTAATCGTGAAGATGTTTTATAACTTTTTACCGATTGCGTTCAGAATTTTTAATAATATTTCTCATCTTACGGTAAGTTTTAATGTTTAAAGAACATAAATTTTAATTTAACTTTTTATTACTAAGAAGTAAAATTTATCTGCCAATGTTTTATGGCTGCTGTGTTCAAATAAAGTGTAAATAGCGATCCTAGATTCAATACCCCTCTACCCTCTCGACCACTCATAATTTCTATTTATTGACCACATTGGTATTTCACATTGAAAATAAAGTATCGATACTTTAATAATATCCATATTCTGACGTATCGATCCTCTAGTAAAGGCCTAAAAGAAATAACATGCGACAAATACTTTAACAAGTCGGCGTTGCGCAAGCTTTCGCTGCTGTCATCCAATTCAAAGTCATCCTCCCTACTACCTACTACCTATCCTAAAGTCCTTCCTTGCTGACCGTTACTTCTGAGTAACATACGGTTCTTTTCATTCACCCATCCATCCTGTTCGGGCAGGAGTCCGTCAAGGTAGCGTTCGTAGCCCAATCCTTTACGGAATATATAGTCATATACAATCGAACCTGGATAAGTGAAAACGCTGGGGGACCATGCCCTCAGATATCACTTATAGAGGTTTTTCACTTACGCAATTTTTCATTTACCCAGGTTCGCAGTAGTTATCCATGTTAAAAAAAGAAAACATTCATTTCACTATTTTCCATGTACCATACCACAATGTACATACACAGTGTTGTATGTACTACATATGTATGGTAAGTAGATGTGTCAATAGGTCAAACAGGCATTAAAAGATCAAATGAATTAGTCAATTTGGCTTGAAAAAATCGGGGATAGTGGTTTGCTTTTCGGTGTCTGTCTTGATCTCCATTCTTTGAAGATCGAAGAGCCTATGGAACACCTGTGTTTCCACGTTGGAGTTGCCTTCAAAATATCTCCTAACTCTGTCCACTGCTCGAAGTGCTTGGCTTTTCGAAAGTGGTGGTCCTTCATCGATTTCCTCAGTATCGTCCTCACTTTCATTAGGCGCAGCGCTACTGCTGGCGCAAGCATTCACGAAATCAGCGACAGTGAAATCCCCAGAGGTCCGCACATCGTCGTCAACCTGTATGAAATTATCAAAAACTGGGACGTTGTCGGACATGGTGTGTAACGCAGTCAACCAATCTTCCTCAAGACTTTTCGATTTACCGTATCCTTTTCCCCACTGTTCTTCAATTTTATCATGGTTCTTCGTAATACGGCATACTGCTGTCGGGAAAACTCCACTACTGCACAATTCACCCGGGGTCAAAATCCTTGTTGACCTTCAATTTTCAGCTCACGTCTAAAACAATAAGTTTGCGTTTAAGAGTCGACATTGCGCACGTATGTGAATAAGCTGAATAACACGGACTAACTGACCAGAAAAATGCAACATATCGTTTCAGAGACAAAGATCAAAATATAAACAATAACCGAACCCCGAACACCTGCGCTGAATACACGTCACTAGTAGCGGTCGAGAGAGGCAGGGATGTCACTCATTGAGGTGAGGAAAGCAGAGACGTCTGGTAATAGTAACTGCCCCTTCCGTGTGGATTTCTCTTAAGAAGCTCAGGATTTGTCACTTATCTAGGATTTGATTCACCAAAGAGTGACGGGACCACAACACTTCTGACACTTATCCAGAATTTCTGATGAACAGAGGTTCCACTTATCCAGGTTCGACTGTACTCCTGACATCCTTAATCATCCCAATACTTCATTAATTCAATGTTATCACTGCGAGTCGGTCCAGTTACAATGATCCTGTCCTTGCTTGCCGTTCGTTCCTTACAGTCTGACCTTAAGCTTTGGCTAAAGAAGTAGAGGGTAAAAATAAATGAAAATAAATGTCAGTACATTAATCTCACATTCCGGCGAGCATTCCTTCCTGCAGTATACCTCTCCCCTCGTCAAACTGTATTCGCTTCTTAGGCTATACATCGAAATAATCCTCACGTGGAATCCCCATACTAGACTTAAACGACAAGTACTTAATAGACGATACAAACTTCTCTCTCGAATCTTCGACAGACGATCCAAACTATCCTTTAGCAATAAAAGTCTAATGTTCAACACATTACTCAAACCGACATGGACTTATTGAATGGAATATGGGGTTTAGGGAAATCATGAAACTCCTATCAAATCCAATCCTTCCAGACCAAAACCCTCCCGTGTAACACAAACGTTCCTTTCTATGTGTCCAATCGTAACCTATTCCATGACCTCAACATCCATTGTGTTTCCCACGCCATCAAATCAAGATACAACAAATTCCACGCCACAATCGCTGGTAACTAACTATTAGTAACCATTAGCAACCAACTTTCCTCAGGAATACTTCCTGATAGTCCACAACTTCGATGGCTTCGTGATCTCAGCTTGAATGTTGGAGAGTGACAAGTGAATGCTTAGATTTACTTACATCGGAGTATCATTACTGAGTGTGATGCAAGGCACTTGGTGGTCAGCGAAGAAGTATTCTCCGCTTAAGACAATACGTATCAATTATATTTTTCTATCACCATTGTATTTGCTTGTTGTTATTAATTCTACAGTTGTGAATTTCAAATAAAAATAAATAAATATGTAAAGGTAAAACCCTCGACACCCAACGAAAGGGAGATTGATGATTATTGCAGTTTGTTGAACATACGTTTCTCACAACATTCATTTTATTTTAATAATTATGGAAAGTGTGGTTGATTAGAACAATTATATCAAGTGTTAGAAGCACCAGGGTACTGATGGTGAGCGGGGGTTCGAGTCCCGCTCTTGGTATTAATTTTCCAACCATACTTTGCATACTAATTAAAATAATTACTTTGGTTAATAGGGCCAACTAAAAATATGTAATCGATTAATTCATTTTATTGTTGATCTTTCTTTTTTATCGAGATTTCTAAAGTAAAAACGTATTTCTTAGTGAAATGGCCGACGTATAAACAAAAGACATCAAAGATTAGTCAGTTTTCAAATGTCTAAAAACTCGACATCTTCAGACTACTTTATGCGGATTAGACAAAAAAAAAGGCCGAATTCTCCAGTCTTAATCTTCCCCTTTTAATTCATACTTACCATGGTCAGTCGATCCGCATTTAAGGCCTCTTAATGTTCCGTCTCAACTATGAGCCGGGCAAGATTAATTACCAGTTTATTCCCTGGACATTCTTATATCATAATTAGTCCTGGACGTCCGTATGTCACTGCGGGGCTCATCGTGTCCTCTGGACAGTGGTCGCTGTCAGCCGCAAGAAGATCAAGGGATATTCGCGATGGACGAGGGGCTGATCAACTATAATTCGGGACTTAAACCATCTTGAGAAGATTGATTTATTGTTAATGCCTAAAAACCTAAATTAATTCGTTTACGGCTAAATAAAAAAACCGAATTGCAAAATAAGGCTGCATTTTTATCCGCGCAATTAAAAAAAAAAACATCACAAAATATGTGCAATTTTGCGAATCAAGCAGTAGAAACATTATTGTTGGATCGCGCATGTAAAATAGTTTCTTAAATTTGACTGCCTCAGATTGGATTTTTTATGCAATTGTTCCTGAGCAAGTTTAACATAATGGTTAAGGTGGTTCTATTTTATGGAAATTTTAAAATATGGATAAAAAGATTATTCTACTTTATGAATACAAGAACGACGATAAAAATCATGTTGAATTGCTATAAACTCTCCCCCATATCAACATCAATAAAATAAATTAATTTTCACAAATTTGTGAACTCTTGTCAATTATTTCACAGAGTTCTAGAATAATTATTTCAAAAAATTGCAACAATTTCAAATTGACTCGTCGGTTTGCAGTTTTTTATAAATTACATTTTCATTTTATTCTCGATTATTGGTATGGTAATTGATGTAAAAATTTAATGTATTTATTAATAAAACATTTTAAAAATCTACAAATTGTTATCTATAATTAATTAAATATAAGTGTAAATATAATCAAATATAAGTTGATTTGACACGGAGCTTTGTTTGACACGGCTCATCACTGGAAGGGTGGTTGTGTTCGAATCTCAGCGGCCCTGAAATCAAACCAAACATAATTACTAATAGGCTTATAGATAATAGGTCCTATAGATCAACAGACTAATAGATTTGCATATATTATATTTAAAGATTTAACAGATTGGATTGAGGAATAACATGATCTTGGTTTCAGAAATTCAAATTTAAAAAAAAAATCAATTCAAATTAAAGTCAAATTAATTAGTGTGCATGCTTCATGATTGTTTAAAGCATTTGGAAATAAACAAACTGTCATGTTAAATATTGACTTTTTCAAATATGTTATAATAATTTATTACAATTTTATAATATTTTAATTACAAATGTATCTAAATTGGAGTCAATAATTTGGCAACAAACATTACATACTAATTCAGCTTAGGTTGTGGCATGTGCTCGGTCATACTTAACCCACACAGGCACACAAGAAACTGAAGTACTATTTTTAATATACTTTAATTTTGGATTAATGTATAACATACATTGCCTTAATATTTGTAAAAAAGTCCACAGGCCGCGTTTTAAGATGCCGTAAAAATTTAAAATGTTTCTTTATCTTTATAATTATTACAGGTGACGTCTTACATCTCGGTACTTTTCTAACAGAGCAACAAAACAGTCAAATTTTTAATATTTTATTTTTTATTAATTTATATGCCAACTTTTCCCCAAATCCCATGGCGACTCATCACTGGAAGGGCGTTCGGGTTCGAATCTCAGCGGCTCTGAAATCAAACCAGACATAATTACAAATAGTTTTATCAACAATTTAAAAAAATAAATAAATAAAATTTAAAAAAAGGCACGGGGTTGATATGACTTCTGCCATTGCGAATCCCCGTAAAAATATATGTTAATGTAGGCCAAACTATCCTTTATTTATACTATTTTTAATTATGTATTTTGTACTATTTTCCCTTGGTTATTGTTCCAGAATTTTTTTAGTTTTATTTGGATATCTTCAGGGCCATGTAATTTTTAATTTGCTGCCGTATTGCACTATTTGCTCTCGAAATTTTTATTTTAATCTACATAGCTTTAGCCTGATGAGAAGATAAGAAATGAACAATTCTATTTTAGTTGATATATTTCTTTCACCTTCGGATTTTGTTTTCACACTGGCAAATGTGCTGTAAAATAGAAATTTTATCCTCGAATATTTAATATTTGTCGTTACCTACGCAAGCTTTTTGATTAGGTCTGGTGGGCTTGTTGCACTGGTGGACAGATTGCTTTACTGGGCCCGTCTATTCTCGCTGGTTTACGTTTCATCTGTACGCGTTTTGAGTGAAGCCGATGCAGCAATGGGTCCTTTAAACTTGTCTAGTGTTTTTAAATTAATTAATTTTGTAGGGAGGTATTTGAACTACGAGTTGAAATGAATGAACCCCATCAGTGCCGGGTTTTTGTATTTTGTATTTTTATTTTACTTTATTTAATTTTTTATTCGGGCGTTTGTAACTTGTATTTTTTGCTTAGTTACTTATGTGACCAAAAGTTTAGATCTAACTCCCATGGATAGTAAGATACGTATAGAAGTTGGATTATTTCAAGATACTCATCAATGTATATCCAATTATCCAAATTTAGGTCATATCAAATTTATATCCAAAAATAAATTATATGCAGATTGAAGAGGGTGGAGAAGATTTCGTTTTTCCAAAAATCTTTGTTAGGGAAATAGTTTTTTGCAAATAACCTGAGAACGGTTGAAATAGTCCATTTGTAAGTATGTCGCGTTCGAATGCAGGGCCTTCGGATTCGAACCTGGAACCTTTCTTACAGTGATAAGCGCCGCCGTGTCAACTTCTAAACCATTACGGCTACCGACTCTCCGCTACATAATATTAAATGATGTGCATATTTGTCATAAAATTATTCCACGTGGTCCATAAGCCGAGCGGTTATGTCAATATCTTCAGAAGGTGTCTCTGAACGTTGTGTTCTTGGACTTTCAACCGAGTTAAAAAATGAATGGAATAGCCTTAGCAGTGTCCAACTTCCTGAGTTCTTCGATAGAAGAAATATCTCCCTCAGGTATTTTTAGTCAGTTCGCGTAAGAAAGATAAAATATGGTTTTGTGGTGACCCGGATTTCCTCGAAGGAACTCCTGTCCAGGTTTTTAGCTCCTCCCTCTCCGCGTAGATCAGAGTGACAACGGAAATCAAGTGAAAAACCCTCGACTTAAAGGAATCATCTTGACCATCCTTGCGGATCCGACGTGAATTCCCTAATTTTCCCCCCGGTCCTTCCTGGCTGCGGTCTCTGGAGAAAACCAGCGAGGTTTTTACCGTTGCTCCGGGTGGCGGTCGCCCCTTTTTGCCGGGTTAAGGAAAATATTAAGTGAAGGAGTTACGACCGCCGTGTTTGCGTAGCCGTAACTTATGATCCACTTGATTTCCCCCCGAATTCAATTTTACTTCACAAACGTAAGAAACGTTTGCGTTTGGGGTATTCCTGCGGTTTTTATTAAAGTTCAAAGAAAAAGGCAGACTAAGTAAAAATTATAAGAAGAAAAACCCGCTATTTCATCTTCACCCCAACTCACAGAAAATGTTGGATACTATATGAAACAATTGATTTTCCTTTCATTCTTTTACCCTTGTTCCATAACATATTTTTGTAACACCCTCAATCATTTCTATTCTATTCGTCATATTGCGTTTTCCATACAGACCCATACAATTAAATATTGTTCACCATTCGTTTCTTAGGAGCATATACGATACTAGCAGAAAATTGTGTACATGTCTCATGTCCCTTTGGATATGTCTCTCTCTCGCTTTCTCTTTCTCTTTCTCCTCTCACTCTTTCTCTCGATTGAAGAGAACTCTACTCAACTCCTCAACTATTCTCTGCTCTACTCCTCTCTACTTACTCTCTACTCTACTATCCCATACTCTCTTTCACTCAACTGAATAGACTTTACTCAAATCTTCTCTGCTCTGCTCTATTCTACTCTAGTTTATTCTACTCGGCTCTACTTAAATCACAGAGAACTCAACTTTAATCTCCTATGCCGTACTCTCTCTCTCTCTCTCTCTCTCTCTCTCTCTCTCTCTCTCTCTCTCTCTCTCTCTCNAAAACGAATTTTTACCTACTCATGCTAAATCTGTCTCTCCCTCTCTCTCGCCCTCTCCCTCTCCCTCTCTCTCTACCTCTCTCTCTCTACCTCTCTCTCTCTACCTCTCTCTCCCTCCCGCCCTCCTTCCTTCCCTCCCTCTCCCTCTCCCTCTTCTCTACTCTACTCTGTTCTGCTATCCTCTATTCTTCTCTCCTACATTCTCTCACTCTCAACTTGCTCTACTCCAGTCTACTATGTTAGAGCATACTCATAAATTCATATCTTCTCTATTGTACTCTAATTTGCCATGTTCTTGTTTTCTTTCTTTTTCTATTTCTTCTCACTCTACTCCGCTCTACTCTACCCTATTCTACTTAACTCTTCTCTACTCAACTAACCATTCTCTCTCTATTTCTTTCTCACTCTTCCATTATTTTCCCCTTCTCCTCTCCAGCAGAAATTATTATTACGCGGTTTTTTTAAATTCATTAGTTGTCAAATATTTTGAGCGTTTAACAAAGGCTCCATAACCCTAAACATATAGATAAGCAGACTAATAGATTTACATAGATTATTGTATGATAGCTAAACAGATTGAATTTAGGAATGACGCGATCGTTCTCCATAATTTTGTTCAAATAGGTCTATTTGTTTTATTAGTCCTTGGTCAGCGGGCTTACCCTTCTGTATAGCCTTTTTTAAGTTTTATAGTTTGATTTTGATTAGTTTCAGGAAATTTTTATAGAGTTTCGTGATTTCACTAAGTCCCAATTTTTTTTAAATTGACAACTCACAGGTAAATTAATTATTGTGAATCCGTCATGAATGTTTAAAATCTTGGAAAATGAACGAACTGTCGTGTTAAATATTGACCTTTCGCATGGAATATAATATATTTAAAATATTTAACTACATATTAAATACATTCCAACCACATCTAAATATTTAACTAGATAATCTGGCATCAAACATTGGCAAAATTATTCGGTTTAGGATGTGGCATCTGCTTGGTCATATATAAACACACACACAACCACGCAAAACTAGTATATTATTTCAATTAATTAATCTATTTATGTAAGATTTTGTTGAACGATCGAATCCCATTTCTGACATTGACTTTTTCATTTCAAACAAAACTTTACATACAAAGATTAATTAATTGAAAGAAGCAATTTGGTCAATGACCACTAAATAATGGATCTAATATATTATGTTCAACCTATTTTAATTTTGGAGTAATGAACTACATTCACAATTGCCGTAGCATTTGTAAAAAATTATGGAGGTCTCACAGGCCTTGTTTTCAGATGCCATCAGCTTATCATTGTAAAATCTTTCTATGTCCTTATAATTACCGGCGACGTCTTCCATCTCACTTCTTTTCTGACAGCGCAATAATACAGTCAACATATTATTAAAACTCCTGTCATATTTAGGTATGGTATTTCATATTTTGAAACAAAAAAGTCAATCTGTGCGCCAACATTTTCACAAATCCTGTTCTAACTTGAGTTAAATTCAAGATAAATTAAAGGAAATTACTTTAATACTTCCCAACAAGTTAAGTTTGTTGAGCTCCTCCTGTTCAAAATCGAATATATGATTCTTTTCAAGAGTTACAGGCGCATTTAAATATTAAAAGAATATAATTGTTTTTTCCAAACGCAAAGGGAACAATGGTTTGAAACGGAGAATGCTATAAGTGACTGTTCTTGTAATTAATCTATGGAAAAAAATGAACAGCCTTAGGAAATGGCCTCTCTCCTAAGCTCCTCAGGTCTATAGAAAAAATGACTTTTAACCCCTGACTTTCGCCGAAGGAGGGCGAGGGTGAGTGAGTCGTTCTTATTACCCCTACTATCCGGCATTTTCTCCTCCGACCCTTGTTTTATTGATGAAGTCCTAATCCTGGTCTAATGTACAATAATTAATCTCAAGAACTTAGGCGAGCCCTCCTTCATTTTTCCTTTTCACGACGCCCGGGCATCTTTCACTAGGGTTTCCTTGAATAATTAAACGCCCGCTTCTGAAGCTTTTCTTCCGAAACAAAAAGTATTAAAATTATAATATAAATTATGAACCCTATGCAACTGAATGCCCTTAAGATCCTTGAAGGCTTTGCCGCGGAATCGGACATTTTTAAATACGCCTTCACGAAAGGGACTTAAAAGGGGGGGGACGGATAATTACATACGCGTTACACTGGCTTCGAATCATTGTTTTATTCGGGATTCTCTTTCTTTTAATTAAAAAAAAGTAAAATTATTAATATTTTTTATTTCCTTTAATGAATATAAATAAACCTTAAATAATTTTATTTCAAAGACCGTACTCGTTTATTGGTTTGACTGGGACTGGGAATCCGTAGTAATATTGGTAACATATTTATTTGTTTGACAAAATAGTTTTAAAATACAAAAAAAAAAATTTATACATAATTTTTAGGACAACAAATTATTTAAAACATGAATAGTTAAACTTTAAAAATTGAATTCACTAGTTTTCGTGGTCCGCTTGACCAATTAATATCTTTCAATTAATTAAGTAATTTTTATCTCGACTAAAAACCTTAATTAATTGAAAGATAATTATTACATTGGTCAAGCGGACCACGAAAACTAGTGAATTTAATAAGTTAAAATGAAGTATACTTCACTA